GTATCACAAAGGAAATTTAAATGTTAGAAAATTGTTACACTTTTGAATGGACATTTAAGACCTTTTCGTTTCAAATGTGAATATACCTACATACCGCTCGAAAGTATTCGAACACGCATTGATTTAAACACACAAAGTTCTTTTTATTCACCACACTAGTGGTCTTTTCTTTCATCTTGATGGTAATCCATAAGCTACACTTCGATAACTTTAGTTTATTTGCAATATCACTGATCAAATAGCCTTCACCACGAAGAACATACGCTGCAGAACGTTTTTCAATAGAAATTCATTGCAACTGTAGGCACTTTCAGCACATTAGAGCAAATCTTGGTTCGCCAAGGGACGAACAAGAAATGGTTAAGGAATGGGTGAAAATAGAACGTAACACATTTCTCTGGTACATTATGGTAAGTGAGTGCGAAATTACCGGAAAAACCGTTCACAGTAGTCACGAGACAGTATATTAGTATAACATTAACATTCTTGTTTTATTACACATTTATGAAAAGCATCTGATTAAAACGATACGCCCTGTTCCCTAAATAATACATATCATCGGCTAAGGCCCATCAAATTTATAACTGAATCTAAACATTGTCATAAACTCCAAAAATCATATCGACGTTAACTAGTGAAATTAGTGACAGAAGAACATGACAGAGCATCTGTGATTCTTAAGTGTCATGGGAACGTAACTGCGATGTGTCTCCTTATATTCAGTAAACCTAAAGGGACATAGAACAAATAAAATGAAGAAGTCACATAAACTCGTATTTCTTCAAATCCCTTGTTTATTAACAAGTAATTAGTTCTTAAAATTTGTAGAAAACATGTATTTAAACGCTGCAAACCATCTCTAACATATTCGATCGAGCTTTCATATTGCCATTAATGCTGCTACTGTGTAAAGTTAACAATGTATGTATGAAACGGGCCCTGCTGTTTTCAAACGTACTCTAAAAAATTGTAAATATTATAGAGGCATTATTCACAAATCGAAATAAGGTCACTGTATTAAAGGAAAGAATAATTCCAAATTAAATATTATTGATACATATGTTGCAAAAAACTTGTACAAAACATTGCAAGGTTGAATTCAATATCCACGGAAAGCTTGGAAGATTGTTCCATAAATAATTAAAAAGTTATTATAAAATATAACAACGTTGCTAAAATGTAAACGTCAAATATTAACAGTCCCATTTTCATTTATCTCTAAATAATAAAATACTTTCCATCTGAATATCCGCGAACACTTGTACATATGCATAAGTAATTATATTATTACATACTTAAAAAATTGTAATTTATATTCTATTAATGTGCGTTGTAAAACACGAAGCCTTTTGTGCTTATATTTATCCTCGTTATAAATTAGTACTCTTCTTAAATAATTAGATGTTTACTAATTAGCTTACGTATATGATTACTATGAATAATTCTAAGTTAAAATGCTAAAAAATACATCAACTTATATTATTTACAATACTGGAACGAACACTTAAATATGTCCTTTCATGTGCACGAAAGAGAAAAAGATATTCTACAATTCAAAGAAGTGATCTACAAATGCTTAGAGTATTAAAATTGTACAAAACGCTTCGTACACACTCCTGACATTACTTTAAATGACCTTCATCAAAATGACTTATTGTTGGACATTTTTCTCGCGATACAATGTGTATGTCGTATGAAAATTGTTATTATGTACTAACAATGATAGACACACTTCCATTCCTAAAATAACAATTTTAATTACACAATAAAATAATTTTTTATTCTGCTTATAGAATCGATTCAAATAATTCTTCAGTCCAAAAAGGATCATGAATATAAAATTTTATGCGCTGTCATTCGTCATGAATTAGTAAATGATTACAGGTTTTGTCAGCTCTGTTGAGATAAACATTGTTAGCATATAATCTGTGGAACTTTTGTAATTTATAACAATTGCTTGAAGAGCATTTCTATGATATTTACCGACATCTCAACTGCATCGGGCGATATTATTATTTACAGTTAGTGGTACACTAGTCGAAGTAATTTTCAAGTCAACGCAATATTACTTGTTTAATTAACTTCAAAATTAAGTTGGCTTCCCATGTTAGTCAGTTCATCAAGGACCAGACGACGATGCAAATTACTAACCGTGAAAGAGTAATAAATTACTAACTGAAACACAGTAATATAACAATTTCTTCTGTAATCTTTATTTAAAGGTAAATTAAGAGACTGCTTTTAATTGGCTACCGGTCAGTAAGATGATGAATTGGAGAGTAGACCTTAGGTCTGTTTTCACCGTTAAGTATTATTCGAGAGAGAAACTACGAGTAGTAGTACTGATCAGTCGACACTTGATATTTGAAAGGGTGTCTGATCTATGATTGGCTGATGCTCCTAGCTGTACATGCTTTTACTTACAATTAAGCTATCGACACTGCCATTATCTCTTCCAATAATTTTCTACACATACGAAAACTTAAATTTTCATTAGTCTTTCATTCTACGTATCGTGAATATCATCAAGACATGACATGTGAAAAAATCTGCCTAAAGCTTTTACAAAATTGGATTGCGGATATTTATGCATTTGTAGCAAACTTTAATAAAGAACTAAATTTTCATCTAATTTTCATGTTTATAAATTTTTGTTAAAAATTGTGAATTTACATAAATATCCGCAGTTTAATAATAAACTTCCACGATTATTATACGAAGATGCTATCGGTGAAGCAACCATGAAACTGTGTACTATATTCTTTTTAGTTTAGTATGTACTTCAGAATTTCTTTCCCAACTCTTCGTTGGAATTGTTTATAGACTATGGGTCATAAGGAGATTGCGCACTTCATACACGTGTAATACATGTTATCTTACTTCCTATCACAGTTCAATAAGAAAGAGTTGTTACATTATTTATACTTTATACGAGTCCTGTGATCAACGAAATAAGTTGGCATGAACGTTTTGTTACATATATTTTGTTTAATAAACTTATTCCGATGCTTTTACATGGAACTTCATGCATTTAATGTATATTTGTTGTAGTGGAACGAATGTCAACCTAATCATGTAGCGCATTGCGATTTTGAGACGACTGAAAGCGTTACAAATTTGTAAATTGTGTAGTTTACAATCGAAGTATAAAAACTGTGTTACATTAATACGTTGACTGCGATGGTAGTTACCGATGTTCGACGCTATTGTATGCAAAATATTCGATACCTGAACATTTATATATAGAATCGATGAATATACACATTAGTAAAGTAATAATTTAAACAATTAGTGTCTAAAATTAAACATGAATATTTACATTTTCTGACAGCATAAACTGACAGAGATGTGCTTTAATACGGTTTAATCCGAATAAACAAAATTTAAGCAGTCAACATGTTAAGACGAATATTTCAAATGAATTAATAAGCAACGTTCATATTAAATTGAATATAAAATGTATACTCAGATTTTTGCATCGTTATTACACACTAGTTTAGTTCCAAATTACTGGAGCCTTAGAAGATCTACAGTTCTGAATATTGTAGACAGTTGTATCAGGAACGCTATGCTCAAATACATACTGAGTTTTGGGACTAAACATTCTGTTTACATTAACGCTCAGTTACTACTTTATTTAGTAAATCTTATCTGTTATTCGGCGCAAGTGATTTCTATATAATTATTCTTAAATGCTTTCTAAGGTAAAAATTTTGGATTTTTAAAAACTACTTCTACTTGCTGACATTCACCGATTTTCAAATAAGATATGTATGTCACAATTTTAACAACTGATATTTTGCATATCTTGATTAAACAAACGTATTTAAAAGGTATTAAAATTAATTTTGTATCATCCAATAGAATTTAAATAACGTACTGCAGAAATTTAATATCATATATGTATATGTAATATAAACACCTATATGCTTGCTTTATTGTGGTAAGTAATAGTAATTCGAACTTTCAGTTTGCAACTAATATCAATAGAATATAATCAATTAGAATAAAATATCAATTGAATTGATTCGAGAAACGAGTTCTGAAAAATAGAAGCTTTTATGCGTACAAATGAAGTCGACCTAAAAACAATAGTTTCCACTGTACAATTACACTGTACTATACATTAAAATTAGTATGATTCTATAGGTCGTTTTATATAACTCTGTACACTAAATGCCTACACTGCTTATTAAATATGCTTAACAATATTCGGTATACTCGAAGATCTTTACTTCAGAAAAGCTTTAAACCTTGAACATATGCGGTATAAGTATCGTTCACTTTAGAGAAAGCTTCTTGTATTCTACAAGGTGTTTCAGAACCATGGTTTCATATTCAATCATTTAATAATATTCACAAAAACTCATCTGGTACTTTCTTAATGATTTCCAAGTAATGATTTTAATGACCAGAATTTCCAGAAAATTGCAATATACTCTGAATGATTGATGCTAGAAGGAACTTATATAAAATTGAAAGCGTGAGCATCTCGACAACGATTAGTCACCGAAAGTTTCCAGTGGTTTGTTAACATTTTCTCTATTACAATTCTACATTCTATTCATTCAGAAGCACCCTATTTATCAATACTATAACAAAGCGTGCAAAATAACCAACCGCGCCGTTTCTTACCATATCGACGTGCAAATGCAGTCCAGTGTTCTTCTTTTGGAAGAGTCAGTTTGAACATTGTTTTAAAACCACTATAATTTTCACAGGTGTTCATACTACTATAAATAACGGTTAACGTTCCTTACAACTCAATAAAAGTCATTGTGCTTCAATTCCTTTCGGTCGAAACAATCTAATCGACAGTTCTTCCTAATGTTTTTGAGTTATTCTTTCGATTAAAGTCTTATCGAACACATTTCAATTTGCAACCGTTCGTTATCGTGTGTAAAAAATAGTTCTCTTTAACGTGTAAAAGCGCACTCTTAACGCCGACACTATTCACTGTCCCCCTCGTAAAATGTGTCAGGCGTTAAGGAGGCCTCCTGCTAGTCTTCGTCCACGATTTCACAGCTGTGATACTTGCTCGAGGAATCGAGCCAGCTTTCTACACCGCTGGAGGCCAGATCGTCGCAGGAGGGCATTTCTGGCAGGGGTTCCATATTCGGTGCTCCTTTCTTCGAGAGATTGTTCACTGGACGATCTTTCATATTGGTGGATCCTGAAACAGATAACAGTGTTGTGCACATTTCTGTTTATAAAATTATAATTTATATATTAACTTTACAAATGCGCACGATACTATGCGCGACATCCAACATCTTAAATATTCGAGAGAATCGATTTAAATGATTTGTCCTATATATTTCCATTGTTTTACATAGCTTCGGTACATTTTTGTATGTAAACCGTTCTTTTCGACTGGAATTTTGATAAGATTGCTAGTCTTGGCAACTTTATATATGTATATATTGTATAAACTACCATTTTCAGTGGACATGGAGGTATCTTTTCTACGGATCAACGCCTGCCTGGACGCTCTTGGACTTCTGTATTCACCACTTATGTTCAATCCTGCGCTGATGCTAGGAAGTCTGATGTCCAGATGTGACCCTTTGTCTGTAACAATCTAACCACACGTTAATGTAAAAAACTGAGGAACTGTGGTGTTGTCTTAGGGAAGGAAGTTCGAAGAGGGCACTACTAAGACTGTAGAGGGTGTACCCAATAATAATTTTGTGTGCTTACGAAACGTATACCTTAACTTAACACATTCGCAGACGGTGGTTTTGAGGAAAAACACTTAGCTGAATACCGTGTACAATTTTCAAAAGTCTATAGCTGAATACCGCAGGGTTCTGCTACTTATAATGGATTACAATTCACGTTCTAAGACATTGAACAGCTTTAGCTAGTTAATATACGAAGAATAAATCAAACCTAACGAAAATTTAAAACCAAGGTAATAATCATCTTGCTAAAGAGAAACGAATCAACAATTCTGCAGATTTTAAAATGACGTAGGACTACGTTGGCAGTTACGAATGTGTTAAGAACTATTACATTCTAAAAAGTCACTAAAAGTCAATCGATTGTTCGAATTTCTGGGTATTTTGTAAAAAGTGATTCTTATCGATTACTCTATACTGTTATTTTGAAATCTTCTCAGACTCCAGTTACCTTCTGCACTTCTTTCAATTTTCATATGAGTTATGTATTAAAAATCAATATAAGGCAAATGTAATAAAGAAGTTGGAGTAACAGGGGAAAGCTTTACAATTGTTACCTTGTTATTCATTGCATACAGTTTGGTGGCTATGTCCCTAGCAACCAGCGTCGTTAAGACTGTGGCGAGATATGCTTCTTTAACAAGAAGGTATTCCAGCGCAGATCTTTGCCAATATAAGTACCTGCATGAGCTGGCCGCAACAATTGATACCTAAAGCAGACACAAATTTCACCTATTCTAACCACTGCTTTAAACCAAATACTCGTTCAAAAATGAACAGTACCTTCCGACTGAAAATGAACCAGGTGTATAATTCATTAAGAGATCGAATGGTACGAGATACTATGTTCTTACCTTAAATTTATCATCGACAGACGCTCTAGAGCTCTCGAATTCTGGCGAATCGAGAAACTCACAAGGCAATATAGGGTGCAAGAAATTTGAATCGCTGAGAACATTCACTTTCCCATTTAGTAACAGGCCTAATCTGTCGGTTCGGGTTAAATTTTGCATGGCGTACGCTTCTCCAGCATGAAGTGACATTATAGACGCAAATTCTGGAGACACGAGTCTTTTAAATTGCAGCCGAGACACCTGTTGCCATTGGACAGAATTAACAGGCTATTAAAGCAACGTATTTTTAAATGGATATTTAAACTAAATATTTAAAAGAAGTACTTTGAACCATATACACGTTTTCTTCAAATATTTATTACTATTTTCACGAGCAAACTGTATTTACCTGTGAAGTTTCAATATGAAAATATTTATTGATTCTTATTTACACGACGAATTATAGTAAAAAAAGTGGGCTATCTACGTATTTTTATGGAAAACTAACAAAATTTTATTAGCTTCAGAGACAGAAAATGTTATATTTCGAAAAAAATGTTTCCTGCCGAAACTGAACATATTCGTGATTGGAACTTCTTTCCAGTATTCGACTATACTCGAAACTTTTTTGTTCTTATGGGATATTACATTGCAAAAATAAAGATCTTCTTCATGTTGACAGTATAGAAATGCTTTAATACGCTTGTTGGCAAATTTTTTCGACTACTTACTTTAAAGGGGTAGAAAAGTGTATGGTACACCTCCTCCAATTCAGGATCGAATCGAACAGGTCTCATTTGATAGACAATGTAAACGAGTTGTCCAATGTTCAACACCAAGAAACTGAAGTTCCAGGAAAATATATCCGGTGCGCATATCACGTGCCATGCCCAACCAGAAAGCAACATGAACCCTTGAAGGAAAACATTATTCTACTAACACCAATGTATGCTCAAATCATGAAAGCTAAAATGTGTTTCTTTCTATGACTCTAACTTTCAGAAACTCAAAATACAAACATATACTACAATAAAAGTTTGCCACAGGAAATATAATTTTATAAAACCTCGTGTAATTATTATTAAACAAAATTTCATTTTGAATTTATCTCCAGCTACAAAACACTCCCAGGTATCAAAACAATATCTTTTAATAATTTTTAATAACGCAGACGAATAAATTAATTAATTAAACCGCGTCAAAATTATTTGATTATAACTGCCTTTACCAGGATTACACAGAAATTTTATTAAAAAAAAATTTTCAAAAGAAAGAAAACTACTTACAAGTGTAATATAACTTAGCATTGTCATCGCTAATAATCTTTGGTAGTTGATGTGATGTGAAAGAATGAAAAAAAATTGAGACAACATTCATTGGAACGTACACTGACGAATAAAAGTTTCGAACCAAAATAGTTTTTATCAACATCATATTTGTTACTCACATTTATGTACGAGTAATATGTCAATTTCATATATTTCATTGCATGCTCGCGGATTAGGATGTATACGTATCATACACATTAAGCGAATAAATATACATACGAATAATAAAAGAAAATATATACATTACATAGCCCTTAATCAATTATTTCTTCCGTAAATTTTACGAGTAAATGTATCTTTAAAGTTAGGAGAAGAAATTTATCCATCTAACGTGTCGTTTAATCCCACAGATAACAATCAGACTGAAATGACCGAACCAGTCCTATCTTACTGAAATAGGCTCACCAATTATCAGGACGGAGTGCATAAACAGTATTCCTTTTCTGGAGGATGGAGCCGAATAAGACAACGCGAAACAAAAATTCGCCAGCTGGAACAACATATGCTGCGGTTGCTGCCATAGGCACAGGGCTGTGTTTCCTGTAACGATAATATTAATCAAAGTTAAACACCTACGATGTACAGAGATGTATCAGAAATAGTGTCCAGACTTTACCTAATGCGGTGATATTGTATGAGGGAAGAGGGTCGTGTCCAAGACCGGGACTCATCTTCACTATCGGTGATTGGAGTTAAAGGGGGAGGAAGAACGACGCCTAAAACACTACTTAGGTGTCCATGCTCACTAGTTTGTTTTGGTCAAATTTGCAAGTATTCTCGTGACTTAGCAGGGGCGCGGTGTACGCCTCCCTTTGGAGCGCCTGCGCCGGCACCAGGGATCGATTGTTCTCCAGGTTGGTCGTGCAGAGTCGAAAACTACACTTCTTGGAACAGCAGTATCTACCGAAGGCATGAAAGTGTTTTGTCGGTCATTATATTGAGAGAAAGGTACAATACTTTTAGGTTACCACTGCAGGATACGATGTCCCGAAACTATGTCGGGTTGGATGAATTCAGGATTAACCCTCGAACAACTATGTCGTGTCCATTTTGACCTACCTTTCAGAGTGCTCCGTCGGACTCTTCAGCGTACGATGGCTGTTTTAGGTTGACGATTATGAGAGCCTATAAGGCGAGTCCGATGTCTCGAAGAAATTAATTCTTTCAGTTCTGAATCTCAAAGGGAAGACGTCTTCGTTCGGTATGGAAATATAGATTGAATTTGTTCTTTTCCAGTAAGATTTGTTCGAATGACATGAAAATGTGCATCAATTTCTATTTCTATTATTTATGCGACTTTTTGAATTCACAATGTCTAAAACACAATCAACAAGCTGTGAAATATTTAGAAATTTTGTAAGGACTAAGGTGGCATAATATCGGTATCAAAATCATACCAGTGTGGAGTCCCTGAAGTGAAGATAGTGCAGTGGCGAAATTTATATTTTGTTGTCTATTTACATTCTTTGGAAAAATAAACTTCGGAATTGGAAGGGTGATAAGAAAGAAGGGGGAGCGCGTGGGTCAATATTGACCCATTAGGGGCTTCTGAGAGGGTCGCCGAACCGTTGGCACTTACTGTTAGACGGTCAAAGGAGGCGTACACTTTGCCTGCGCACAATAAGTAAAGGAAGTACGGTAAAACGTCAGTTGTCGGAATATCCATCACTTCGACAATTCCGTTACTGGAACACAGAACGAGCCACGAGTGTTTCATAATAGAATTAATGCAAATGGTTGTATCTATACGTTACACTAAAGCGTAGGACCAAATACCAGTTCTAATCGGAAACGAGCTTGAATTAAATTTTTAACCAAATTGGACCAAATGAAGTAAATCTTATAGTCCGGTATTGAATTACCTGATATTCATGATACATACTATACATGATACACATTTAACCTGATTCCAGTGCTACATTTCGAACCACCGCAATTGTCCTAAATTCCTCCTACGCTATACCGTCAGTAGTACGGAAACGTTGACTTCGTTAAATTAAAGAGAAGTATCGTGGAGACTGCCAGATGATATTCAGTTAATGTGTCATCATAAATAAACCCTTTAGTAGCAAACTTAAATTTGAACTCAAAAACAAGTCGTGTTACAGGTGTATTCGTGCTTTCGGTTCAAATTGTGTTTTCAAAGTTTGCGAGATATTTGATTTTATCGATACATGTTTGCGCTTATATAGAATTGGTTTTGATTACGATTGATTGGTTTACGAGTGTAAAAATTCGGGGGATTATGTGTTCTGTGATTGGTATATGTAATGTGTGTGATCCTGGCGTAGTTTTTTGAGTTAGAATGGAAACGTGTTGTTATAAATCTAGTGCTATTGTTCATGAAAATCTGATGTGACGAAAGGGACTGTAAGGGGAAACGATCGTCACATAGTGCCCAAATGTTTTGTACGTACTAAGTGGAACATCGAGTGGTCATAAAATAATTAACCAGACTGTAAAAAGCTTTCTGATCGCTTTAGTCTTTCAAGTCATTAGAAATTGACGGGAAAAACGAGTGATTTCAATACTCTATTGTGCATCGTTCGCGGACGAATGCACGTGTTCCCTAGTTCAGTCTTTGGCACTGCACAACTATTATTAATATAATCTTCAGAAACACATAACAGGTAGGTACATGAATTGCAAATAGACCACTCATTAGGGGTTATAACAGAAATATACATATATGCAGAACACTTTCTTTTAAAGGTTTAGTATTCACTGTGAAAATTGTATACCGGAATACCGCTCAAAAATTCAAGCAGGTTACGTATACTTTGTATGCAATAATCGATTCAAGTTATTACTATTTAACAAATTCAGGGCTTCTAGGATAAAAGAAGAAGATATTTTTTATTTTTCAATTTTTGTTCGAACATTTATTACTTACAGGGTGCATCACACAAGAATAATTAGAACAAAAGAAAAACTAAAATACCTTCATGAACTGTAATGATATCAGAAAATGTCTAAGAAAAATAAACATCTTCCCATAGGGTAACTATTAAACCAATGGTAAAGTATGTTAAATACTATTACCTCGTAAAGATGTGAAATTTTTTAAAGTATTACTACTTTCTTTTATTTTCGTGAAATACCTGGTGCAAAGGTACAGATGTTGTTTCCTTGAAGCAAATATTCTCATATAAATCCGGGAAAATATCAAGGTGATTAAGAAAACTTCGATGGAGGGAGTTATAAACTTTAAGTTACGATGTTCTGGCCAGTATAAGCGGAGTTTATAAGGTATGCATAGTCCTAAAAGGTATGCTAGACCTAACCCTTCTAATCCCCTTTCGAACCTGCACCCAGCTTTGCATATAAGGATGGTCACTAAAGTAACGAAATTTACGAACTAATTTACACTAAACTGTACTAATAAACCAATTTCATTAATACTACATTGCGATAAATTGTATCTTTAAAAAGACTACGTCAAATTAAAATTTATTAAATTACATTCTAATACACCTGGATGGTCTTACAGCTACGTTAGGTCTCACCTGAACGTATTTGGGAACTTTCTGAGATCGCTGAGCTCTCCCAAATACGGCATTAGCATCGATCCTAACATGAGATTGTTTCGTTGGTAACATCATTCGAACCATTAGTTTCTTCTCGGGTTTTTCAACTATTTCCTCAGAATGAATGTTACTGAGAAAGTCTTCCAACATTTTCCTCTCGACGCGTCGCTTGTGGTGTCTGGCAGTACGTCTGAGGTTCCGATCAAACCTACACACGTTCAACCAGTTTCTTGACACCTGTGCAGCGCAAAAAAGAGATTCAGGATCCAACTTACGTAGAATTAACTGTGATACCTCCAGCGGCAGATCAGAAATGAAATCCACCTTAGCAGGCTCAAGCAATCCAATCACGCGAAGGAAAGATCTGAAGTACTCCATGTTGTCGTTGTACAAACACAGAGTTGAATGTCTAACATCTGAAAAATCAGAGCTTATATACCCATTATCACGGATGAGTGCACTTTCCGCATGAGTGAATTGGCCAATCACGTTCGAGAACGGATGGAGACGCCTCAGAACAGTTTTTCACACTATTTTCATAACGACATGGACAATGTATTTCTTCCGAGGTAATAATTTTACTTGTTAATAATTGTCAAATTTCAATTTTTATTTTGTAGCAATTGATGTGAGTCTACTTGAATTTATCATTCATACAATATAATAGTGAAGTACATATGTACTATGTTCACATGTATATGTTGTAATTGGAAAGTACAATAGAAACGCTGATGAGAAGTGGGATTGATCGCTGATTTTAGCTGAGTATTCTATCAATGTACAGTACGCAGAAAACATTAAGCTTATAAATTCGGAGCAACCGTTTAGGCTGTTTACTTGAGTTGTATTCGACTTTAGCTTCTATTTTCTATAGAGGTGTGAGTAAAAATGTTATCATTCCAATTGCTATTTTATAATTGCAACGCTTTATCAGTATATTTAGTCGTTTTAATGTGGTAGTTAAAGCGACTCTAAAATACCTCAATTGGTTCACGAAGTAGTTGATGAAAAAGATATGCACGTACAATATCAGGGAACGGTAGTAACAATTGATGAACTGTCTCATTTCTGAACGCAACCGAAGTGGCAGTTAACTATATCTATCACTATACAATGCCTAGAACAGGTCAAAGAGGAATGTCATATATTTACCTTAACGTGGTGGAAGATACACATGTTACCCTGAATATTCAACCAAATTGCAATGTTCATATTACACATTGTCTGTTGTTAATAGTAAAAGGAATGGTTAAAGTTATGAAGCTGTGTAATACTATATTTACAAACTTTCAATATTGTGCAAAGTAATATTGTATTCATTATAAATCCTTCGAGTCCGTGTACGTATGTATAGTAATATTGACTACCTATAAACTATAACTTTATTACTATTAAATTCAATAATTTAATTTATTAAGTATTTATTTTAATTATTTAATGTGTTGCTCAACTTATTATATTTATATAAGTTGCTTGTCGAAATTTATTAAATTACATTCTAATACATCTAGATGGTCTTACAGCTACATTAGATCTCACCTGAACGTATTTAGGAAGTTTTCGATGTCGCTGCACTCTCCCAAATAGAGCATTAACTTCGATCCTAACATGAGATTGTTGCCTTGGTATCATCATTCGAACGGGCAGCTTGTTCTCGGTTTTTACTACCTTTTCCTCGGAATGAACGTTTCCGAGGAAGTCTTCCATCATTTTCCTCTCGACGCGTTGCTTGTGATGTCTGGCAGTTCGTCTGAGGATCCGATCAGACCTGCAAACGTTCAACCAGTTTCTTGACACCTGTGCAGCGCAAAAAAGAGATTCAGGATCCAACGTACGTAGAATTAACTGTGAAACCTCTGGCGGAAGATCAGAAATGAAATCCACCTTAGCAGGCTCAAGCAATCCAATCACGCGAAGGAAAGATCTGAAATACTCCATCTTGTTGCTTTAACCACAAGGGTCTGAATGAAGGACTGCCGAAAAATACGGAGTATATATACCTCTCGTCACGGTTGATTTCACGTTCCGGATCATTAATTCGACCAATCACGTTTGTTGTGGTATAAACGTTTCGCGAGAATGAACTTAAGCTTGCAAATCATGCGATTGTTATGAACCTAAAAGATATCTGATGAAGTCAATATTATCTATGAAAACAGGAAACAGGTACATAACGATAGTTTTTCATTCAAGGATGGCATTCGATGAGAACTGATTTTGGTGTAGGTTGAAGAAATGGGCATTATTTAGTTGTGTATATTATTA